TCAACATGCACACTTAGTGATATAAAGGATTTCTAATTCATCGACCTCTGGTTCAACATACATACTTAGGAAATATTTTCCATTTGAGGACCAGAGTCTGTGATTCTTCTAACCAGAGCTTCTGGCTCATAAGGTCAAGCCAAACAGAGCTTCTGGACGCCCTCCATTCATAATGCTAAGTGTCCTTTAACCAAAGCTAGAACGCAGAGCTCACTTTCTATTTCTCAAGGAAGATCTTATCTAATACAAAGTACGAGTATTTGAATATAGAGGTTTTGAAGACTAGACCCTTTCATATACGTCTAATCACCAAGTATTCGGATACAGAGTTGACCCTCTGGTTGTCTTAGCGTTCTGGATGTTAAAGGTTTATGCAAACACACACAAATTCATGCTTTCAATGCTTTAAGTAAAATTCCTATGTGGAGCATGTTTCCAATATAACCGATTCGAATTTCTTATTATACATAAATTAAACATAGGTGATTAGGCTTTGTTTAATAGATGTATAATAACGCGACATTCATCTTTCGGTTATACTAGTGACATGCTTTGCATAAGCATGTATATTTTAAATCATTTGAAAACTGTTTTGAAAATATGTGGTTATAGTTTGAGGTTTTTAAGAAAAACTGGTGTTCTCTATAACCTGGGGCTCTGATACCAAATCTGTCACACCCCGCTAAAGCGGAAACACGAGGTGTAGCAGGTAAGTGTTTCATAGCACCAATTAATAGATAACACCATTAAGGTTCAAAATTCAAAAGTTTACAAATCCATAACCAAACTGTTCTCGATGAAGACAACATCATTTGCAGAAAGAGGTTTCAAAAATGCGTGAACTGGTGTTATCTCAAAAATGCATCCATGACATCAACTCTTACTTAATTTCTTGAAAAGCATGAAACATAAAACGACGTCAACTACAAAGAGTTGGTGAGTTCATGGGTGTTTTTTTATGCACAAAATACTTTATAATGCACCAAAATTCAACCTTGAAAACTATTTACGAAAAACATGCATAGGGCAAAACGAAAATTTTAACGATGTTAAAGCTTGAGCCCCTACAGAACCTTACCTGACCAATGTGCCCCTTATATCATTCCGAACTACCTTTAAGTGGCCTGCTTGCTCACTTAGGTACCACGGTTCATCATAGAACTACCTCAGCGGTGGCTCGTTCGCACACATGTGTAGATCTATTCATTTTAGGTAATGTGCACCCATTTTTGGGTGGGACTGTCAACACAATAGCGGCTATCCCCAATTACCACAGCTTGGCACGTTCCCGAGTTAACTAGTAGCGTTGGCGGAGGGGAATTTTATATCAATACTCAATTACATCAAATTATCATTTATACCATAGTGTCGTACTAGTCAATTTTCATGACTTCAACAGTTTAAAACTTAGACAGCATAGTTTGCATATTTTTCATGCTTTTCCCCCAATTTAAATAAATGAAAGCAGTAAAAGTGGGGCCGTGAATACTCAAATGTTTGCTAGCAAATAACAAGAACTGGATGGTGTTGAAGCACTAGACGCCTAGCCTAAACTTTCCTAAAATGTCTGAAATTTCATGGTTAGATCACCTATCGGGTTCCGATAAGGATAAAGTCAATTTATATTTTATGTAATGCCAACATGTTTGTGACATTCAGTCATTTCTGAGTTTCAGGTTAGCACCTTATTTTAGGTCCTATATTTAGAATTATATTTTACTAGGATCTAGCTATGATGATTAGAGTTCATCTGGCTTAGWTCCCAAATTCAGTTCGGAAGATCACGCCTCGGCGGGTGACTGATGACTAACTTGCGTAATGCCAAAAATTTTAGAAATGCTTCAAATAAAATAAAGTTGATATTATAAACTTTTAAAATTTAAAATACAAAAGTCCCATTTAAATGTTCAAATGATTTTATCAAAAGGTGGAGTTTTGGAATTAATAGTGTCATTATTAGTAAATTATTTGGTGGGTTTTAAATCTAAGTGGGCTTATTCTTATTTAAGAAAAATAAAAGTTTTATTTGGGTTTGGGCCTTTAGAGGTCAGCCCATTTCCTTGTTTAAAATCCTCATATAAATACCCCACATCCTTTGAAAGACTTTCATTTCCAAATTCTCAACCTAAGCTTTTCATCTCTCTAACCTCTCTCTAAAGCAAACCACCCTCCAGCCGATTCCTTCAAGCAAACCTTTAAGAAGTTTTGTCAATCTTGAAGAATATTCAAGATTCTAAGAAAAAGGTACGATACTGGTTATCCTACTTTTRTAGAATATCAAAAGTTTTCATCCTCCTACTCCTACTACTTGATCTTTTAGTAAAAATTMTGGAGAATTAAAGAGGGGAGATTGTTCATCAAAGACCTGAAAATGTCTTCAAAAAGGGATGATAACCTATGATCCATGTTCTTGGATCTTTAAGAAAGTAGGAGAAAACCCCATTGCATGCGAAGTCTGATCATGAAAAGTTATGTTTTGAAGAATGGTAGAACCTTGCATGCATCTCAAATCGGCTTTGTCATCTTCAAAATTTAATGGAATTGGGATAATATTTTCTGGAGATTGACCAAGTTTGTTAGTTTGAAAATAGGATTTAAATCCTTGGAAAATGATGAGTTTAAACCTCCTAAATGACTGTCACTCGAAGAGTGTGCAATCTGTTTTGGGGGCTGTGTAACTCAAGGTTGTAGGGTAATAATGAGCAACTTAAACCCACTCGAAAATTCTTGATATTTGGAATAGTCGGCTGATCTCATTATTTTGGATGATGTGAAAAGTTGGACATAAAATAACTTTTGGAAGATTCCTATTTATAGTGATTTGTGAACCCAAAAATACCTGGAACATAATTTATAATTTGTCCAAAAATTAGCTTTTGAGTAAAGGATTTTGATTTCTTTTAATATATAATTTTTGGACTATTTTTTTAGAATAAATAAAAAAATATCAACTTTAATTTATAAAAACCCGATGGCATTGCATGAGATGCAACTTAACTTTATCTTTGTCAAGAACCCATAAGTGATCTAAATTCTGGATGTTGATCTGTTTAGGAAAGTAGGGCGGACGTTGAAAGCTTCAGACGTCATCTTATTGGATATTCATCATCAAGCTTGTGAGTTTTCACGGCCCCACTTTTTAATGCTTTTAGTTATTTAATTGGGGGAAAAGCATGAGAATAAGCAAACTATACTGTTATTTATTTAACCATTGGACTAAAGAACTGTTTAGTCAATTTTTGTTTGAAACCATCGGACTAAAGAACTGTTTAGTCAAGTTTATTATGTCATGAAATATTGACTGTTCTTGCACTATGAAATAAATGCTAAATTGATGTGCTTGGGAATATGTTTCCAAATAAAGTCCCCATCCTTAAACGCTACTTGTTAACTCGGGCAGCCGTGGTATTGTGGATAGCCGCTATTGTGTTGACAGTCCCACCCAGAAAGGGGTGCACATTACCTATGTTTCCTTAGTCTAATCATGTGGAATTTGGACCACCGCTGAATTAGTACTACTACSAACTGTGGGACCTAAGTAAGTGTACGGGCTACTTATGGTCGTTCGTAAAATAATGGGGCACATTGGTTAGGTAAGGCTCAGTAGCGTCTCAAGTTTAGCATCGTGGTAGATTTACATTTATTAAGTGCAAAAGTTTACGTATAAGTTTGCAAATTAACGATTTATGCATTGTAATATTTTGTGCATATGAAAAACCCGTGAGCTCACCAACTCTTTGTAGTTGACGTTGTTTTATGTTCCATGCTTTTCAGGTAACAAGAAATGAACTGTTTTGGGAGTATAATTGTGGCAAGACCGATTAAGTTCGCACTTGAAGTTTTTGTATAAGCAGTACATTATCCCATTTTGGTTATTGCTGTTAAACTTGTTTTATTTTGTAAAATTTGAAAGGTGTTATTTATTAACTGTTGCTGTGACTCGCTTACCTGTTACATCTCGTGTTTCCGCTTTAGCGGAGTGTGATAATGTTTTTATGGATTAAAGTTGATATATATATAATTTGTTCTTAAAATAGTCCAATATTTGTATTTTTCAAGTTTAAAGTCCTTTGCTCCTAAAATTTACAATTTGGACATAAGTTAATTTTGTTTCTAAAATTTTTTAGTCTCATGAATCATTATCAAAAGGTACCTTCCATGATTTATTTTGTGTAAAAAAATTTATACCATAAATGTCACTGAGTTAAACACATTTTATCCAAATTTCACACATTTTGAAAGTGTTTTAGTCATTCAAATGTCCAACACATTTTTACACCTCAACAGTCTAGAAAGATTGCACCCTGTCAAACTTGTTGTCAAATGGAAGGTCTAAACTTAGAGTTTTCCAATGATTCCACTTGAATTGTGAACAACAACTCATCAAACTGAACTCCAGAAGAAAATACAAATGTTTTGGAAAAGTTATCAAAGAGTCATGTGTTCAAAGTGTTCGAGAGATCAAAACTCCATATTTT